ATACACATGAAGAGGAGCCACGTGCAAGATAAACAATGAGCCTGGGAAAGGTGATATTCAAGAATGTACTCTTCAAATTGGAAAGTGCTATTGAAATATGAGATGGTGATATTCTAAGAATCAAATTCAGTGTTTCTGAGATTTTCTCCAACTATCACAATTTACTATGTGACCTCCTCTGTAGCGTCAATGTGACAAACTGAGGAATTTAAAGTGTCATGGAATTATATAAACTTTTCTCATGAATAGACTGTTTTCTATATAGCAGTTTAATAAAATATCTTGTGCTAAATTGTTTAGATATCCACTTTTCAGGGTTTTTTCCTTACTAATAATTCCTCATCAAACTGTAAAAGGGAGGGAGGGAGGGAGAAAGAGAAAGAGAGACATTGCGTCTCATTTCCTCTGTCTCCAAATTGTGTAATTGACCACCTTCCAGGCAGGTATTCAAAATTTGTACTTGGGAAAAGGCCTTAATGAGCAAGTGGAAAACGTTTTTTATAAAACTAGAAAGAATAAAAAGGTCAAACTTACAGTTGTGATAAGTTAGCAGTCATTTACTACCTTTGTAACCGTGGAGTTCTTAGTCACTTGTGCATGTATGTATACTGTATCTCCCATATGTATCAGTAAGGAGACGCTGGTTTATATTGTGGTAACAAATAACCCCAGGTGTTAATAACTTAAAACAACAAAGGTTTATTTCTTGCTCATGTAAGTTTATTTCCTCCTCCAGGATGCTCTCAACAGAGCACCTGCTATGGACTTTTGCTAGTCTTCATGGCAGAGGAAAGATAGCTCTGTAGGCTCTCACATTGGCCTAGAGTAAGTAAATGCTCTGGCTCAGAAGTGTCATACATCACCCATTTCCCCAAACACTGGCTGGGGTAGTCATGTGGCCGCACCTGACAAAGGAACCAGGAAATAGAACCCTATCATGGTCCAGAAAGGGGAGAACCAGAAGTATATGGTAAGCATTACTAATGACTGGCATGCCATTACTGCTTGCACAATGCAGTAATGTGGGTTTCTAAAGTGAATCCAGCATTACCCAAGAAGGCTGGCAGGCTGATGTGGTGTTATTGTTGGTCTCAGTCTGCCTCAGTGTCAGTCTCCCTCATCCACTCTCCACCTACTGAAGCCTGTTATTTCTGTGTCAGAATTTACTCCTTATGTGAATTCTAGGCATAATTTTGTTCTCTTTTAAAATGCATATAAACATTAAGTACAGCATCATTTAGTCTGTTCATCTGATGGTTTTGGGGGGCTGGCTGATGCAGAGCTCTTGAGGATGGAAAAGTTATTTTTGAAAGACTAGAATCTCCTCTGAAGAAGGGGAGAAAGGATGTCTGAAAGGAAGTCATCTGCTTCGAATTATTTCCCAGAATAGGTCCTGATCACCAGGGTGGGGATTTATAGGGCTATGTACCATATATTGTTCCTCAGTTGCAAGCCCGGGAGCAGTCACATAATCGATTCTTATCCATTTTAGGAAATGGGCCCCAGGAATATCAGGTTTGGGATGCTTCCATCACAAAATGACAAGGTACATGCTGAACTATGCATTCTCTGGTGCCCAACACAAATAGAATTTCCCTTCTGATAAATGTACAGGAATTAAAACATCATTTCTCTTGAACATTTAAAAATGCCTCCCATTATCTTTAAAAACATCTTAAAATACATTCCAGTTTGTTTTCTAATTATGCAATAAAATCACTCCCAGTTCTGGTATGTTGGTTAAAAGTCAAAACAGCTTGTATTTGAATACAGCTATACACATTCAACATTCAAAAGCTGTTTTCATCATGATAATTAGACATTAAATTGTGATTTATATTGTTAAATACTGATTTAGAGTTAACCAAGTAACAGTCTGGAAAATTTGAAGTACTTTTACAATATTATGTTACATTAAACTATGCCCATAATACATCTCATTTTTTCTTTCCTCCCAAATTTAATACATTATTATAATTAACATCTTAAAATATTTTGGTAGGTAATATGTATACATAATAGAAATAACTAAAATTACAAAATAGTTTTTTAGTGAAAAACAGGTATTTCTCCTATCCCTGTCCCCTAATCCTCGAATTTCCCCTTCAGATATAACCACTGTTATCAATTTATTGTGTTTCCTCCCAAGGATAGTCAATGTTGCTATAATTTTCTTTTCTTTTCTTTTCTTTTCTTTCTTTCTTTTTTTTTTTTTTTTGAGACAGAGTCTCACTCTGTCACTTAGGCTGCAGTGCAATGGCACAATCTTGGCTCACTGCAACCTCCGCCTCCCAGGTTCAAGAAGTTCTCCTGCCTCAGCCCCCAGAGTAGCTGGGACTACAGGTGCACCCCACCATGCCTGGCTAATTTTTGTATTTTTAGTAGAGACGGAGTTTCACCATGTTGGCCAGGATGGTCTAGAATTGACATCAAGTGATCTACCCAGCCCAGCCTCCCAAAGTACTGAGATTACAGACATGAGCCACCGTGCCTAGCTGCTATAATTTTTGTGTGTGTGTATGTGGTTTGGTTATTTGTTTGCTCTTGTACTTTATGTTTTTCATTTAACAGTATGTCTTGGAGATTGTTTCATATCACTATATACAAAGCTGCTTTATTCACTTAACAACGACATAGCATTACATTATTTTGATCTATTACAATTTATTTACCCAGGTCCCTATCAATAGATATTTATGTTGTTTCAAGTATTTTTCTATATAGACAATCCTGAAAGTTATGTTCTTATATTTATTTCTATATATGTGTGACTTTACACTAGACATAATCCTAGATGTGGAATGGCTAGATCAAAGGCAGATTTTGTTATAGAAATGTTATTAGCATAAATTAAATTTTAAACTGTGACAATAAAATTAAAGACTTTTTTTAACCAAGGTGAAATATTTGTTCCCTTACTTGTCTGACTTTGAGCTAACACAGTCAAATGAGGCATCGTTTCAGACCTCAAGGGATTGAAATACTATGGGTGAAATGGCAGCTGTTTAGAAAGTACGTATCTTGAAAACCATTTTAATGTCATTCTTAAAAGACTTGTTTATTAACCATATAATTGAATCTAAAAGAGATATTCAAACATTCCTACTTATATGTCTGGACTCTGAAAATTCCTAACTATAGAACATTATAATAATAGTTCTTCAAAAGTGAATGCATTTTCAAGTAAAGTTCTGTTAAAAACATCACCAGGATTAATCACATCAAACCTGACTTGGGATTTCATGAACAGTTGACTAAGTGAAAACAGTCACGTGCTTTGTTAAAGGGCTCACTGAAAAGCTAATTTGTAAATTGGCCATCACTTAAATGCATGTATCTAAGTTAGCTCACTGAGAACTTATTTAGACTAGAGAATTCCCTGCTTTAAGCTTCCAAGAAGATACTTGTACTCTTTACAAAACCTTGCATAGAGATGTTTAGAGAAGCCGTAGTAACTTCATGGGACAAAATTAGAAATCCATTTCCTTCTAGAGAAGAAAGGGTGTGGTTTCCCAGAGCAGCACAGGAGGGGTTAAACTATCATTCCTTCCTGATAATTTCATATCTCTTGTATAAGATTGCTAAATGTCAAAAAGTGTTTATTTTTTTGCTAACAGTATAAAACTGAACATACTGTGAGACATAAGGTAGCAGGTGTCTTGGCTCTAAACTATCAAGTCTGTGGGCATTCTGTTATAACAGGTGCTCCAAAAAATTTGAACAGATTTTAACAAGAGCTGTATGGGCTTTTTAATTAGCCTGGTTATTCAGCATGTGTAAAAAGCATTAGGTATATGCTTAAAACATCATAGGGTCTAAAACACAAATGCTTCACATAGTTACTCTCTCTTTCCGGCTTCTCTTTGCTTTCTGCTGTTACATTTGACGTATGCATTTCTGTTATCACAGAATTTCCCCAGCTGAGACAAGAGCATGACAAAGAATGACCAGCGGTAACAGTGATAGAGTAGAGATCCAGAATACTCTTCTGGCTGATACACAGACACGCTGTACACTTTTCATAGAAGTCAAGTTTGATATGTATTAGGGGCATCCTTACCTTCCCTGGAATAGCCTCTTAAAAATTTTATATGTCTCATAAATTGACTATTATCAGAAGGATTTTACATCAACTTCTATGATATGGGAAGATGAGCTTTTACTTGGGATTCATGTTCAGGATTTAAAATTAAAAAACTTCTACCTGTATTTTAATTTCTCTTATAAGTCATTATGTTAACACAGATGTTAATATAAGACTATCTTTTTCCTTTTGCTGTTAATGTACTAATGTGACATTTGATCTTTGGGATCCAACTTTGCACCACGAATTCATTGGTCTAGCAAATAGTTACTGAAAATCTATTATGTTGAGTGTGTGTGTGTGTGTGTGTGTGTGTGTGTGCAGCAAAGAGGAGTAAAACAGATTTCCTATACTTAAGGCACTTAAGATCAATATAAATTATAAAGTGGAATATGTGACTCCGTAGTGATGTAAACAGAGTATACCATGGGTGCTGAAAGGATGGGGAGATCTACATTCAGTGAAACTGAGGAAAGTTTCATTGGAGCAGGTGACATTTAATCTTGGTCTTGAAAGTTGAATAGAATTTTGAAGTCATGATAGAAGCTGGCATTTGGGGCTACATTACAGGTACAAATGAAAATACATTATAGGTTGTTGACTTATTGATTATAGTTATTGCATATATTGTGATCAGTGTTTAACTTTTTAGATATACAGATATAAGGTACAGATTTATTTTAAATAAACCAAGTGAAAAGTTACCAATTACTGATTGCTTAGTGTGCCAGGTTCAGTGTGCCAGGCTTTACCCACTTTGCCTCAGTTAACGTTTATGACATCCCTTTATGAAAGGTATCATTCCACCAGTTTTACACATGAAGATACTTAGTATCAGAGAATTTAAATAGCATATTCAAGGTCATGTGATAAGCAAGAGGTGGAGTTAGGATTTGGACTTAAATCCATCTGTTACCTAAGTACATGCTCTTATTCTTCACAACACTGCACCATCCTCCTGGTTTTAAAGTAAGAAAGACTCTTGTAGATCCTTCTTGTGGATATAATTGATGCGTTCTCTTGGGAGATAAAAAAAATACTCTTTATGTATAAAGTGCAGATATACATACAGTACATATTCAGCTGTACAGTTTAACTGTGGCATTGATATTTTATGATGGAGGGTGATATGGGAAGAGAGTCTAAAAAGGCTCTGTAGTGGTGTGATCACAGAAAAAGGTTGGGAAGCATTGATCTAAGTCAAGCTCTCTCACTTTTTAGGGAACAGATGTGGAATGTTGGAGAGTGAAATGACTGCCCCAGTCACACATCTAGTCAGCGGTGTATATGCATGTGTGGACTTAAATCTGCTGTTTTTAGGGGCAAAAGACTCATGCACCACTTACACTTTGCCAAGCTCAACAATCTTATGTCCTCTCCTTTAACTCGATTTCTTTCTGGGTTTGTGCGTGGGCTTATTTATGCTCTCCGCCTTAAGCTGTGAATCACTAAATTTCAACTTCTTGGAGGTCAATAACAAGGAGTGAAATAGTCCCACGGCTAAGTCTTGACCCTGGAATGTGTCATTCAAGCTGAGGTGTTTTGGGGGCACTCTTGAGCTGTCCACCTGGTGCTTCTAGAGCAGCAAGCAATGTATCGTAAGTGCTCAGAGTTATGAATTAATGCATGAATATTGACAGTAGCAGAAAGAAAAGGGCTCAGAAGGACTGAGAACTGCTTGTCTTTTAAATTATTTAAGTGTTAGTTAAACTTATTTCACATGGAAACAAGCAACACTGGCTCATTTGCCGGCTGTTGGACATCTGCTGTCAAGCTAAAAGTGGACTGAGGTCTTGAAGAAAAGTTGGGCACTAAGCAGAGCTCTTATCTGGGGGTCAGGTGCTCCACTGGGTTTTGAATTCTGTTACTGCTGGTGAGCTGAGAATCGGCACCCTTAGCTTGTTTGGGGCCAGACAAGAGTTTCAGCATGAAGGAATAATGTTAAGGAAGCCCTAAACAGTTTTACTTACACTCTTCCTACACATCAACACACAATTCATTAAATCTGTTGAAGATACAAGAGGGATTTTTTTTAACCTACTGACATAAATGATTCTATTACATTTAATGTATGTGCTATTTCCATGTGTTTCCCCTCTCCTCCAGCCCCACATAAGAATGCAGTGACACATTTACTTTCCACAATCTGGTCTATTTCCATGGACCAATGTTATTACTTTCATGGGTGTTTTTCTAAAGTTTCTTTATGTTTATAAAGCATATTATTCTTAGATAACAGGTATATTAATATTAGATAATAGATATTAATAGATACATTAGCCTGGGCTTGGTGGCTCATGCCTATAATCCCAGCACTTTGGGAGGCTGAGGCAGGCAGATCACCTGAGGTCAGGAGTTCGAGACCAGCCTGGCCAACTTGGCGAAACCCCGTCTCTACTAAAAAATATAAAAATTAGTTGAGCGTGGTGGTGCGCACATATAATCCCAGCTTCTAGGGAGGCTGAGGCATGAGAATTGCTTGAACCTAGGAGGTGGAGGTTGCAGTGAGCCGAGATCACACCACTACACTCCAGCCTGGGTGACAGAATGAGACTCTGTCAAAAAAAAAAAAAAAAAAAAAAAAGAAAAAGGATATGTTATTCTCTCTCCTGCTGTAACTAAAAAGTACCATATTATGCATATTGTTCCATACCTTTATTTTTTCCTCCAAATAATTTATCTTGGAAATGTTCTGCATTGGTACATGGAGAGCTTCCTATGTGTTTTTTTTTCCTTAACAGCTGGATCATATTCCATTATATGGATGTACTTTATTTAACTGTATTCTTATTGACTAACTTGTAGGTTGTTTGCAATTTTGTGCTAGTACAAGTAATTCTGCAGTTACCATTTTGCAGACATCATATATGTTTATAAGAAAACTTGCAGGGTATGTTCCTAGACATGAAATTTGCTGAGTCCTAGAGTGTATGTATTTGTGATGTGGTTAGTTTGTTAAATTGTACTTTCTAGGAAGTGTGTCAATTTATACTTACAGTAGAAATGTTGTGAGTGACTGTTTCTTCATAACCTTGCCAAGAAGGTGTCAACAAAGTTTTAAATCTTGCCAGACTGAAAGGTAAATATAATATTTTAATGTCAGTTAAGTTTTCATAGCTCTAATTTTAAGTGAAGTCAACCATCTTTCCTGTGTTTAAAACCATTTTTTTTAAAATGTGTGAATCATCTAATAACATTCTTTGCAATACTGAGTTGATTTTTCTTATTGATTTCTAGGAACTGTTTATTTATTATAAGGTGTCTCTGATATGAGGTTGCAGATGTTTATTCCCATTTGACATCAATGATTTTAAATATTACATAATTAAACAAAATTTTATTTTTAGAATTTGCTAGCATGATGAATTAACATTGCTGAAAAAGATTACTTGGCATAATCACACTATTATCTCATATTAAAAACAAATAAATAGGATACTTACAAAATAATTACATCTACAGAAGGAACTATAGCATCCCATTTTGCATTACTTTATTTGCATTGAGACAAATAAACCTGTTCAGAGAACTAGCTGCTTGTGCTGGGGTAGAAATAGTTTTGCCATTTATTTTACCAATGGTTCCTAATAAATGACAAATCTACTAAGTCCAACTTTCTAAGTTTGCCCTTATAATCAACTGCCAATTGAACAAGAAACCTAAGGAGGTTATGTTCATAACTTGGCAAAGTGTCTACTATATAGGGCTTGAAAAACATTTATTTATTATAGAGATAATATACTGAACTACCTTTCTACCTTATTGTGCCTTAATGTAGTTACTAGAGTAGAAAAGATTTCCACTCTTGGCTGCCATTCATAGGGCTCAGCTAAGAAGTTCCCTCCCCAGCTTACACTGAACTGTATGAAATTGCTGCTTTATAGGTCAAAAAGGGTTGACTGTTGGCACTTTCATACAGTTCAATCTATATCTGAAAGCCTGATGCAGTTACAGAGGATTCAGCTCTCACAGCAAAAAGCTCAACATTTTCAATACTGGGTGGACTGGAGTTCCTAGTGTCCCCACATGTCTATGTGTGGGAAGTGGGGTGTCGCAGCTCTGTTGCTGCAAGTGAGGACTGCAGTATTCAGCAAATACCACAAGAGGGGGCATTTCTCTTGGAAATGTGAAGACTGATGCCTGCTTTTCAGACTAAGAACCGGTACAGTCAGTCTGGGGTGTGCCACCAGGCTAGCAATAAACATCGAATTGGGATGAAGAGGGGCCAGTGATTACATGTTAAGCCATTGTCTGTCTCAGAGGGAAAGTCAACAGCTTTCTGTCTGGCAGCGTTAAAGTTGGTAATGCTAAGAATAGGCAAGCCAAAGTGAAGGGAGATGATAGCAATGGCGAGTTTTGCTGGTTTAATTGTGGATTTGGTAGCCAGAATCAAAACATTAAAAATGACAAGTAGAAAGGGCTGAAGGTGTACCTCTTACATATTTGGAAATATCAGCTTCTTGGGAAAATTCGAGATGATATAAGAGCTCTGCTGCATTTGCCCGTTGAATGGCATATTCCTGTTGGAATTCTGGCTGTCTTGCTAAAAATGCAGTGCACTCTAGCAGTCGGCCCTGTGCACAGATGTGACACAGCCTTTACATTAGGCAGATAATGCAGAAAATATTTTCCTTTGTATTGGCACAGCTGTTAGCATCTTCATCTCAAAGACTGTGCTGCTCTTGGTTAATAGGAGATTTGTCTTTTGTTAGGCTACGGAAGTTAGCTCTGAATGAGAGACTTGGCTGCTTTTTCACCTGAGTAACACCACATGGCAAATGGGTACAGAGCAAGGGAGGTACCTTCAATCAATCTCCCATTGACCAAGAAACACTGCAACAGCCAAGGCCCCTATATGAGAACATTAAGTGGCCCTAAAGAAATTGCTGAACTAGAGGGGTTCTTATTAGAAAATTAAGGAAGAAAAAAGACAATATGACAAATTATGATATATTCTCATAACATTGAATTTAGCAGTCCTGGCCTTTTTTCATTGCCCAGCATCCTGGATCAATTAGAATTCAGTGATTCTTGGATTCAGTTAGTGAATTGTTATAATTTGATACTGAGATAATAAACAGGTAATTAGTTCTCTTCTGTAATCCCCTCTCCCCACCCCAAACCCTTAAAATTAAAAAATATTTAAGCTAACTAGGGTGTTTTGCTATGGTGGTGTTGGAATTCTTTCTCCTCCACATCCAAAATAAACCATCATGTTCTCACTTGTTTTTCTGAGAAAGAAACGTAGATGTTATGTTTTAAAATGTGAGTTTTAGCTTGTTATTGTGTATAGGCATGGAAGTGGCTGTCTTAAACATTGCAGCAAGTGTAAGCTGCCCTATCTCATGCTGAAAGGAAGCAATTTACCAGTAATGCTGGTGCCAGATTAAGATTCTCAGTGCATCACAAATGAATTACCATGTCTATTATTTTAAAGGAGAAAAGAAAATGGTAAAAAAATAAAAACCCCACAAGAAACAAACAAAACCAACCAACGCCAAGAAATGTAAGAAGGGGGACATTGGGCCAGACTGTGCTAAAAGGTACATAATTCACTTTAGATTATCAGTTGGATAGATTATCCCATTTCATTTCTAAAACAGATTTTGCAAGTGTGTAGTGAACAAGGAACTGTTGATTGCTCTTGCGGCTGTTTGAGTTCTTATGGCCCAGAGATGAGAGTATTCAGACGGCGAGTCTTTCATATTTTGTGTGTGTTCCACAAAACCACATGTGGAAAGAAACATTTTAATATATTGATTTGTCATAATAAGTGCTCAATAAATGGGTTATTAAAATGAATTAAAGGGAATCTTAGGGAACTCTACTACATATAGTGTGTGAAGTGCATCACAGATAATAAATACAATAAATAGGATCTGGGAGGTAGATAGAGATGGTTTCTGCTGGGGAAAAGGGTGGGAAACAGTGAATGTCTTCTTCCAGCTCCAAGTCCTTGAAATATGAGCTGTAGCTTCCTCTTCCCCACAAATTTCACTTTAAATCCTAGACAAAATAAGAGAAAAGCAGTAAGCTTTGGAAGAAGTGGAAAGGAGAATTTATTAGGGTACAGAGATGGTGGGATATCAGAGAGACACTGTATTAGGGTTCTCTAGAGGGACAGAACTAGTAAGAGAGCTCTGTATATGAGAAGGAGTTTATTAAGGAGGATTGACTCCCATGATCACAAGGTAAAGTCACACAATAGGCCATCTGCAAGTTGAGGAGCAAGGAAGCCAGTGGTGGATCAGTCCAAATCCCAAAACCTCAAAAGTAGGGAAGCTGACATTGCAGCCTTCAGTGTGTGGCCAAAGGTCTGAGAGCCCCTGGCAAACACTGGTCCAAGTCCAAGAGTCCATAGCTGAAGAACTTGGAGTCTGATGACTGAGGGCAGGAAGCATCCAGCATGGGAGAAAGATAAAGGCTGGAAGACGCAGCAAATCTAGTCCTTCCACGTTCTCTGGTCTGCTTTATTCTGGCTGCTCTGGCAGCTGATTAGATGGTGCCCTCCCAGAATGAAGGTGGGTCTCCTCCTTCCAGTCCACTGACTCAAAACAAATGTTAATCTCCTTTGGCAACACCCTCACAGACACACCTCAGAACAATACTTTGCATCCTTCAATCCAATCAAGTTGACACTCAATATTAACCATTACAGACACCCTTGGAATAGTCCAGAGGCTTTAATTGTAATCCTTTCTTGGAAATTACTCTGACCATATCTGTTCGTGATGCTGTTCTATTAACAAAGAAGAGCCAGTGCTTTGTGATAAAGGCCCACCTGGGGCCAGTGTGTCAAAGTTAAGAGTATAGGAGGTTTGAGTAAACAGGTGTTTTCCATTATTATAATTTGGCTCTCACCTGCACTCAGGATTAGCAAGACCTGCTGCAAGCATTCACAGCTGAGCGGAAAATGGAACATCTGGGTTGCTATTTTTCTTACGTCTACATTTCAGAGTGATATTTTGAGTCAGTTTCCTTGAAATGGAAATAAAGTTTTGGTTCAGGGCATGTCTCTGTAGCTATTTGTATTTCACAGGAATGTGGGCTTCTTACAAGGAACTGAAGAGTCTTAGAAATTCTCAGGTCTTGTTTATGAGGTTGGTAAGCCGTCTGTAACATTATATGCATTTTCCACAAGGATTTCAAGAAAAGGAGACATGAGTGTGTTCTGCCCCATCCTATAACTCATTGTTGGGTCAACATAGGACTCAAATTCTTGTTAGTTTTCTAAAAAAATGTGGAGAGTGAGAGGAGGCTTAGAATGCTTAGTGTCTTGTTCATTGGTTTTGTGCAGGAGATAGTGATTCCTGTGGATGCTTGTGAAGAATACTGAAGCACTGATTAGAAATGGGATACAGTTCCTAGATGATTGTAAATATATATATTTTTGTCTCTAAGTGAATTCCACTTTTAAAGTGATACAATTCACTTTACTACAATAGAGCTATCCTTAGTGAAACTCATGATAACACTCGGTTTTATCCTTAAGGATCAAGACAGTGGACAGTAGAATTTCTCCCCTGCATCCACACCACTGACATTGTGCTTGTTTGTTAAGGCCAGACCCTAAAATCTGGACATGCCATTGTGGCATGTGTGTCATGGCCACAGATACGTGTTGACGGCTGAGTTACAGAGGTCTTGTATGTTCGAGATGTGTATCTTTTTCAAACAATCCCCGTATTTATCCCGACCATCAGTTTGCATCAATAAGCCAGTTTGCAGTATCCTTATAATAGCCTATTCTCTAAATGTTTTAGGATTTTAGCCTGATGCTAACTTCCTGCCTTAAAGAAGAGGAGAAAGGGGAAAAGAGGAGAAAGGGGAAAATTTGAATTCTCATAAATTTTCTAAGGATAATGAGGATATGATTTCATGAAGATACAGTGTTTCTTTGGGGGGCTTCAGTCAGGCTAGACAATTGTTCTTCCTATCAAATGGAACCAGATATTCATAGGGGAATAAGGATGCTTTCCAATTTCATGAGTACTACAGCTGGCATACAAAGACTATGGTTTCTCTAGAATCTAGAGACTCTCCTCCAAGAAGAGTCTGAGCTAATACTGGAATTA